TTGGGTTAAGAACGTTCCAGAAATTCCACAATCAAGTAAGTCCAAATATCTTCTGCCAAGTGGTTTTTCTAAACATGGGACAATTCAAATGACACAAGGTTGATTCATCTGTGGTTATGTGTACGTATCAATCAACTATCATCATCCTTGTCATCAAAGGCCCTCACGAAGCCTATTTGAGTATAAAACAAGTAACTAAAGCTATATGATGGCGTCAACACAAAAGGGAAACCTCGCTACACAACCCAGCCACATTGCACTAGAGAAGAACTCAGGCAAGTGGGTAGAAAAGTGAGCAAGACGTCATCAAAGGTCACAACAGCACAGAGGGGCAGAACAAGAAAGAGAAACGCAGTGAAGGGTGTGGGAACAGCAGGGCTTTATGAACCAGTTAACGCCAATGGAGAAGCGTGATGAAGGCAAAGATGGGGTGAGATGGAGAAAGAAAACAGGGTAAGAATGGTTTGGGGAAGGGAAGTCCCTGAGATTTCAGCAATTGTAATTTGAGGGGGGTTAAGTGGACTTGGGAGAGTGGAGAGGGAGAATAGAGAGAGTCATAGAGAATAGTCAGACACGGTAATTCAAGAAGGCGTTCACCTATTAAGCATCAATTAAACAACCAAACAAGAGGTGATGGTTGACAGTGGTAGAGAAGATTTACACATGCAACTGAGTTACATAAGCCAGTGTCAGTTGAATAATTTGGTGTAATTCCACAGATTGGATTTTTCTAAGTTTCTACACAGATTATTCAAATAATTTTCATACATTACTGCCCTGGTTGTTTTTAAAATGTAGCTTTAAAGGACCCACTGACAAGGCCCCTTTCTATGAGCAGGAAAGGATTTGCAATGTATAAAACAGAAGGCAACGGGGCAATCATCAAACACCTGCTCAGGCCTTTCAGCTCCAGTGAGTGAGAACTGTCATACTGACTCCGAGAGAGCTGAGAAGAGGACAGGGAGGAAAGGGAAGGGAAGGGAGGGGAGTCCATGTCACTTCTGCAAATTCAAGGAAGAGAACTCAACATAGGCAAAGAGGCAGGCAAAGGGAAAAAAAGCCAGATGAAGCCTGGTCTGTGGGCACAGCTGAGGACATCAGCCGGCCTCCCGCCCGCCACCCCCGGAGCTGCCTCCACTGGAGGGGCTGTGGGAGAAGCTGCTCCTCACTGGCCAGAGCGACCAGTCAGATGACCCACACCTGGGACTCTCTTTCTGATGTGGGCATTTAAGACTGTGTCGTGCTTCCTCCCGTCACAGTTTCCTCATACACCGGATGTCTTAACACACCAGGATCGCTCCAGATGCCATTTCTGCCGCACTGGTGGGTAACAGATCATTTGAGTCTCCCTAAGCGAATTTTCTCCCTAAGTGAATTTTCTAAATGCTACTCCACTTACATTTTAATTCAGATTTCAAAACATCCCAAACACATTCTCCATGTCTGGAGAAAAATCATTCAGTATTTTTGTGTGAGGGAGGAAACAAGCACAGAGATAGAAATACCGTTTTTATCCACATAGATCAACTAGAGCAAACGGCAGCCTCACCATGGCAGAGGGCTTGATGGTACGGAACAGTTTCAGGAATATTTCATGCCTCAAGTTCACTGCTGTTCCTAACCTTTCAACAGCCATCACCGTGACCGCAGCTTAAAACCTGTATGATCTTCCATTCTTCTTGGTGTACAGACTAAAATCTCTACCATGCCATCTAATCCCTAGCTCTGACAGTCTCACAACACCCTGCCCCATTGTCCTCTGCACTCCAGCCCCACAGACCTTCTGTCAGGTCCGGAAATGGACCCTGCTTCTCCAGCTCTGTGAAATGTTCTTCAGTCCCCACGCCCATCTCCTTTTGCCAGTGAATTCCTCCTCTTCCTTCAGATTTCAGTTCTGTTGTCCTTTCCTCAGGAAACTCTTTCCCAATCTCTCTGACAAAGTCAAATTCCTTTACGATAGCTCTATACTTTCCTTTCTCAGCACTTAACCCAATTATAATTTAATGATATACTCACATAAGTCTTTGCACTTAACCCAAGGACAATTTTATGTGTACCGTGGGACTACCTGGATGCCTTCTGTTCCCATCATGTCTGCAAGTCCCATAAGAGCAGCAACTTTGCCTGTTTTTACTCATAAGTGTATCCCTGATAGTAGCTCAGTTCAAGACACATATATTCCACAGACATTTAATAAATGAATGAATAGATAATAATCTCTGTGTGGAGACAAGATCTTACATCTACATTGCGAAATATGGAAACTCTGTCTTGAAGAGTTCAAGGGATTTGTTTAAGCAGTCCAAACATAGGATTGGATTCAAAGGTATTGGCTGATTTAAAGGCTAGGAAATGCATCATTCCAAGATATCACATGGCAATAGTAAATGCCCAGTGCAGATTTGTTGAATGAAGAAAGAAAACCAAATAGGAAAGTAGGAAGGAAGGAATTATGAACTCCAAAATGGTTTTCACTGGGAAAATGATCATCTCGGCTGCAGCACTGGGCAGACCACATCACCTTTCTAGGCCTCCACTCCCCAGACAAAGGTCAGACTCAAGGATCTGAGTTTCTCTGCTTTTGAACTCTGTACACCTTGGGATTCTATCTAACAGCAGGCACCTACATATGGCGGCTGAGTTACTTGGCAGCCCAGATTTGACTTTATGTTTTGGATCATTTTTAATGTATTCAAAGAGCAATTACACTGTGCAACAAGAGGCAATTGCGGGAGCAATTACATCAAAGATAACATATGGCAGCTATGGAAACAATGGAAAGTTATTGCAGGGTGTTAAGCACAGCAGATGGAAAAGCTTTGCCATAACCTTGACGGTTGACCCTAGAACTTCCAGATATGTGATATAATTATATGTAAGGAAGCAAAGAACATCTGGTGGGGGAAAAAAAGTATTTTTGAGTTTTCTGTTTCCATCATTAAATGATTCAGACACAAATAAAAAGGAATTGTGAATGGCCTTAGTCATTCAGCCAAGAGTTAAATACAAACTATAAAGGAAAAGCCAGCTTCTTCTCCCAACAAATTTGGGATATTCTGTCTAACTAGTCAAGGGATGTCAGCACTTACCCTGACTAATCAAATTCTCCACTAATGTACTCCACGATCTAGAGCTAGCTCACCTCTCCCCACCCCCTGACGTGGCCCACTCTCTGATCTCACAACTCACATCTTTCATCACTTCTTCAAGGTCCAGCTCAAATGGAACGTCCTCTTGGAAAGTTTTCACAATGCTGTCAAGAAGAACGTGGGGCTAGCTCCTCCAGACTCCCACAGCATTTATTCCTGCCCACCTGACAGCACTGTTGGTTATCTCAGCATGTTATGGTTACTCATCTGTCTATCTGTCTCTATCTCCTATTCAACCTGCCCACCATCTATGAGGCCCTCAAAGATAGAGAACATGCCTTATTCACCATAATGTACCCCAAGCACGCAATTGCATGCCTGACATTTAAAAAGTATGTTGAATTAAATACTAGGCGTCAACCAATCAATAGAAGAATGTATTGTAATGGAAGAATGAGTCCTATTATATCAGCCCAGATGGCACATTTTATCAAGGAGTTTTCAGTGACCCTGCATCATATCCAAAGAGCAACTCCAACGCTAAGAATTTCAAGCACTCTGACATGCCGAAAACGAAGTTACTTAGAAGAGGTAGACTCTTATTCTTTTCCTTACCTTTTGGTTAAAATCATTAAACTCTTTTTTAACACCAGGCACAGAACTATAGCTTTGCATACATTATTATCTCATTTAATTCTCAAACAACCCTAGGAGAGGTTATTATTTCCATTTTCAAATAGAACAGTTGAGGCCTAAGTAGATAAGTTACTTTCCTCAGGACATAGGGTTAGGAAGTGGCAGGTAGGGATGGAATCTGAACCCAAGTCAACCTCACTCCAAAACCTGAACTCCTTACCATCATGTCCTTCTCCCCCTAGTCCGGGGGCCACCCCTGGTGTCTGGACTGTGAGTCACGTTGAATGTTTTTCTTTACCACTTTGTTACTTTCAATTTACTGTTACTTTTATTCACATAGAAACTGTCACTTAGATGTTTCATAATTCTACTTGGCAGATCTTTCATCACTTTTATCGAGCTTGTTATTAACATTTGAAAGGGTCAGTTTATCCTGCACTATGTTCAAAAATGTTTAGGGATAAAGAAATGGAGAGACGAAGTAATCACAAAACCTCCCCAAAGTTGCACAGTTAATAAGGGCAAGAGCTCCAGATGAACCCAGGCTACTTGAGTCTAGGGCCCAAGCACTATCACTGCCTTTAGGGCATCTCTGAATCATCTCTAAGTCCACAGATCAAGGTGTCTGGCACTCTGTGAACCAGCCAGGCAATTCCTGAGTCAGTCCAATTGCAGCCAGAAAAATCACATGTGAATGCAAATGCCTTCTTTTTAAAGAAAACAAAATCCACGTTTTCCCATACACAGTCACTGCCAGACAACGGTGCTGAAGTCTGTGCCAAGCTCTAATTTTACTTCACCCTCCCTCTTCTTTAGGTGAGTTCGGTCTACTTTTCTTCCTGCTTGGCACTGTCCTGCATTGGACTCAATCTTTTCAGAAAAACACACCTAAATAATCTCATACTCGTAATTACTTGAGTGGTTGGTCAGATCATTTTCTTGTTTCACCGGGACTGTTTTCTTGTCTACCATCATAGACAGGCTACATGTGAGAGCTTGACAAAGTAAAGTAATAAGGTCTAGCCTTGAGTGAGTTTTTATATCATATTCCAGATGCTGTGCGGAGCTCTGCTCTGACGTCATCCTTCTGCGGACCCTGATTGACAGGTGAAGAACTAACCCCCGAAAGGCTGAGGACCCTGCCCAAGGACCCAGGGTTGGATCCCACTTGTATTACATCTGACTCCAGAGTTAGCACTACTCTACTCCTTTCCCCCTTTTTGATTAAATAAAGCCCAGACAGAATTTTAAAAACAAGAAAAGAAAATAGAGTACCTGATGAGGCCCAAGTCGTCTCCATTCAAATCTACCATTTTCAAGATTACCATTTCCTTGTCTGTATTTGAAGAATACCTAGTCAGCAAAACAAAGAAACTTAGTTCTGGATTAGAGTCTGACCCTCAAGTATGACCAACAGCAGAAGCTGACAAAAAAACACAAAGCCCCCTCATTAAGTGAGACACCCTTACAAATAACAGTCCCATGAACTGCACCCAGGAACTCAATCCTCAGATGAGAAAACGGTTTAAAGTTGTGATCAAAGTTCGGGATACTAAGTCAACTCACTGGAACTGAAACATAGATTTTTATGCAACACATATATGATATTATATAACCTGTATGTATTTCTTACAAAAGGGATTTGTCCTTGAAATTTCTATGCCAAATTTTAATGGAATTTCTTCAAAAGAACAAGAAATATGCAAAATCAAAAAGCATTACAGACCTGCAACTTAAGTGTTCTGTTATGTCTTTGCAAAGTAAAACAGATTATATTTTCTAGAAATCAATTCCACTGAAAGCCATTCCAAAGCATGCAGACGGATGTAAAACGTGAAGTGGGCAAGTGACAATGGAAATATTATTTGATACTGCCATAGTAACCACGTACTTCTGTCATAAACCTGGTTTGTCACCAAAAGAAAGATTTAAAAAAAAAAAATGAAGACAAAATAATCACCCCTTTTAGTCGCTCCGTTCAATTTTGTGGGGTTTATGTCTTACTCGTCCATCTGTGTTATTTATTCTTTTACCTTTTCTGTCTTACCATACTCTCCTGGGCTAAATAGTTTCTTCTGGGTAACACATAATAAGAGAGCTTTTCATTAAGTAAAAATAAATATATGTGTTATGTACATTTTTATCTCCATTTTACCAATCAAAAAGCTGACAGCCAATAAATTAAGGTAAGTAAATCACCAAAGGTCACATAACAGGGACGTGATAAAGTGAAGATGAGACCACAGTTAGGCCTGATATCAAAGCCCAGAGCCCTCCGAATACCCATATTGGCTCCCATCGCCAACAAAGTGGAAAGCTATGTGCAAACACTGCTGGTCTCCATTCACTTTTTATCGCTACTTGTCTTAGATCATAAGCATGTTTTAAAATATTTAAGCTCTAATGCTCTCCTAGGATCTCACGATATTCACTAAGTAACAACCTTGCACTGAGATTTTTGTCGCTGCTCCTTTAAAGAAACACAATGATTCCATTTTAACAGTCCCTTCTCACCTTGCTCTCTCGGATGGAGGATTCTGAAGGTAAGAATAAGGGCTTCGGTTGATCTGTGTGCCTTCCACATCTCCTTTATTGATGAAGATTTTGCCTGGTTTCATATTTTCGTGTGCTATCTCAATGCTCTGAAGGTTTAACACAAAAAAAAAAAAAAAGAGAAAAGGAAAGGAGTCATAAGCTTGGGAATCCTGGTGGGAATGATGACTTAGTTGATGTAAACAAAAGAGCCCTGTGGACAACTTCTTTGGTAGGCACGATGGGACAAAAGGTGGAAAACCGCATGGCTGGTGCCTTCAGCAAGTAAACAGGACCAGTTTCCTAGGCTGAGACAGATGCGCTGTGCTAATGGATGCCTGAACTCACAAAGAGCCCCGTCTCCTTGTCTCTCAGGATGGCAAAATTAGGCAGAATTTACCATTCCAGATGATCAAAATGGGATGCTTGAATTTTACCACCAGGCTAGAACATGATTTGTTAACCGTGAGTGTTCCCACCTTCCTACCCTCTCCATCCCACCACCCAAGGCAGAATTTCTCTGACCTTTTTTACTAAGAGCCACAGGGAAAGGTAACGGTTTTCATTGCAACTTACACACCAATACGTGCCTCCTAAAACAAAAGTTCACAAAGCAAACTATGCCCTTCCCATGTAACACGCACGACGGTATTTTAAAATCAGTTTTACTAGAGTTCTTTTTTTACTTAACGCTTCTTGCAACCCATAAAATTGATTTCATTAAGTCATTCAGACATTGCAAGCCACAGTTTAAAAAACTTTGTTGTAAAGAAATGTGCTTTGGCCAACTGGATTTCTAAATTTTGGAGGTGGCTCTTTGAGGAAAAAAATAGAAAATGAATAAGTTTGGAAGGCAAAGAAATAAAGAAAGCCTTCAGCAAGGCTCCTATGCAAGAAAATAGTCATCTGAAAGCCAGAGGGGAGGAGTGCAAGTTACACAAACCAGGAACGGAAAACAAGTTTGGGGGTGTTTGTCAGAGAGCAGCATGGAATTCTGGAGCTGCTACTGAGGACTTGAGAAATGAGGATGTGTGTTTACAAAGTAGATCCTCTCTGTTCTTTGGGAAATACAAAAAGAAAAAAATTGGAATTATTTGTAATTACTTCCAACCCCTTGATGGGTTCCTTTGTGCAGAGAACAAACCATGGGGAGCCTGTACCATATAAGGAACCCGGAACCAAAAGGTTTTCTGCCCCTTTCGATGACCATGTGGGCTCTATTGCCATAAACTCTCCTCTTCCAATCAGTCCCTCTGCTCAGGCCTCAAACCCCAATAGTCAGAACCAGATGCTAAAAGAGAGTCAAGGAGGAGATAGAGGAGGAAGTGCTAGGACTGTGCTCAGGCCCCAACCCTCCGGGGACTCTCCCTGTCACACAAACCACGTCCAAAACACCCGTAAGCAAAGGTAAGGAACAGGGGACCTGGGGCTCTTCGCCTACCTTCATGATACCAGTAACCATGTACTGGAAAGTTCGATTGCTGAATCCTTCGCTGGCAATTACAAACACAGTGTACTGGAAGTACCCCGCTGGGCCTGAGTGTGTGTGAGTGCCGCTCAGGATGACGTTGTCACTTCTGTACAGGGAGCCATATTTACTCTTCAGTCTGTCCAGGACCTTCAGAGAGGAAAAAAATAATAAATTGAACTGACATGAGGGATAACACAGGAACATTGAACAGTTCAATTGCTGATCCGTACCAATGAAACCCCTTTCGGTCTGCGTTGGAGTTGATCATCACAGTCACGACAACAAAAGAACAATAGCAACGCCTAACATGTTGTAGACTCTCGCAGCGTACACAGACACAAGGCATGTTCACTGTGTCATTTAAAAATCTATATAACAACCCCAAGAGCTAGATATGGTTTACCTCATTTTCAGCTGAGAATGTTGGCGTGTACAGAAGTTAAATAATTTGCCCATGGATTTATCAAGCAGCACAGCCAGACTCCAGATCCCAGTCTTTCCACCCAGAGCACTAGTACCCTTCCTTGATCAGTCCCTCACTGTATTGATTAATACTCAGACACATCTAAGCACAAAGAATATGTGAAGTTTCTACCCTGAAGATGTTTGTATTTTAGCGAAGGAGAGAGACAATAAACAAACTAATAAATAGGTAATACTAAATCATATAACTGTAAATACCACAAAGAAAAACATGGCTGGGTAAGGAAAAAGAGAATGATGCGAGAGTCTCTCAAAGAGGGCTGTCTTTCAGCAGAGGTTTAAATAAAGAAAGCAAGCTGGTCATGCAGTATCTGAGGGAAAAGCACTCCCAGCACAGTGAATAGACGGCGCCAAAGCCTCTTAGCTACTCTACCACCTCACTTACCCAGACGAAGAATTCAGTATTCCCTGAAACAGACTCGTACACTTATTGGTCTGGGGAAAGCCATCTACTACAATGGAAGGGCCCCCCAGTAATCCTGTGGAGAAGCCGAGATGGACAGGAACCACACTGCCAGCACTAACTTGCCAGCTATGTGGGTGAGCAATCTATGAGGTATATTCTCCAACCTCGGGCAGGCCTTCAAACACCTGCAGCCCCAGCCAGCATCTGCGTGCCACGTCCTGACACAGAAGTGATGACATATGACTGCTGTTCTAAAACGAGTCAGAACTGCACAACCCAGCCACTCTGAGATTCTGGGCCCACAGAAACCACGCCAATAATACATGATTATTGTTGCTTTAAGTCACTACGTTTTTGGATGATTTGTTCTGCGGCAATAGATACAAAGAGACTCAGCAAACATTCCCTGAATGTGCTAATCAAGAATGGCCAAAAGCATGGCTTGCGTCTTCACATGTTGCCCACATCAAGAGAACAACGGAGAGAAAATGATGACACTGAGTACCTGTTTCTGATTGTGCTTTAATTAGATCCGATCTGAAGTTTTGCATTATTGTGGCTTGTTTGTGAAAGAGCATTAAAATGATCCAGCAAACATGTCAAACCCAGAGCAGACATTCGCAATGTTTACCTCGACTATGGCATAAACAGTCTGATAAACTGAAAAACAAAAGCCCTCATGTGTATTTTTTGTCTATTTCTTTTGTGTAAACACTCCCCCACCCCCTTGGTCAATTTCAAGCTACTAAAAGTTTACTAAAGTCATGTCACAGCGTTCCTGAATATTTAACAATTGGCTCCCATGGGCAGGCACAAGCCAGTGCTAGCCCACTAAGCAAAGAGCAGCTTATGTGCTGTGCTCCTAACATACATATAGATCATGATTCCACCTCTTCCACTTTAGCTGAAGAGCCACCCATCCTCATTCCACTCACGTGGTCCTGATGCAGGAAGAAGATTTCGCAAATCATCTTGCCTCATTAACCTTTCCACACCCCCAAAGACGGATTGCTAGGTTGCCATATCCACATAAATAGGCCTGTGACATAGGAGTATATGGAAAGAAAATATGATATAACCAGACTAACATCCTTTCGTGTCTGTCTGATTCTAACTCCACCCCCAAAGCCTCTTCACTCCCACCTCTTCTTCCCCGCAGTAATTACCACTTTCCTGAAGGAGAGATGTCTATAAAAAGAAGGGAAAATGATCAAGGAAAGGACACCCCGAAAGCTGAACTAAAGTCAAAAGCTGATGTTCTTCGAATTCTGCAACTGAGATGGGAAGGAGGTGGAGGAAGGGAACTGCAAGTGAACTTCACATCTGCCCCAACCCACCCTATCTTACTCCTAAAGGACTGTAACGTGAGGATTTTAGAATTTAATGTTTCTCTTAAACTCTATTCAAGAATCGAGGTCTTTAAAAGACAGTACCTATGAATCTTGAATTTTTAAAACAAAAAGACCATAAATAGCACACATCAATTTGACTTTAAATCACAATCTCTGATGTGAAACCAGACACATGAGGAAAAATAAAAAAGAAATTAGAAGCCCAATCATGTAACAACGCCTGCAAAGCGCCATTATAAATGGCGTGTTTCCCACTTCGTGGAAGGAGGGGTGTTTTACCCCAGCACGCAGCAGTTCCATTAACGTCTGTAGCTCACGTCAGTCTTCACTTTCCATTCCATTTCCCGTTGCTGACACTCTTGGGAGCGTGACACAGAAAGAGTTAGAAAGTCACTCTGTCTTCCTGCCCTGCCTCACTGCACAGAGATCTTCTCTAGCCTTCATTAGATGCTGGGAATTTCATCAGTCTTAAAGCTGAATCTGAGACTTACGCAAAAACAGGTGTATAAATAAGCTTAATGGCATTTATTGAGCTGCGTTAATTTTTCACACCTTCCCTTGAGTTAACTTGGGATAACTAATCAAGTTCATTCAAAGGCTTTCCCAGGGGGCCTCAGAGTGCACAGGGCCGTAAAAGTAGGAAGAGATAGTTAAACGCTGCCCACTATCACCTGACAGCATCTACAGACCAACACGTAAAGCCGCCCCTCTCTCGTCTCCATTCCACCCCCTTAGTCTACCATTTGGCTCTTCTGTTTCTGCTAATGATTCTACAGAGGTGGAGCCCTAATCAGAACCACCTCTGATTCCTCTGAGAAGTAGTGCAGTAACAAGGAGCAAGACTCTGGCACTAAGGTGCTTAAGTATGAATGAATCCCACATCTGACAGTTCCTAGTTGTGCAAGCTTGGATAAGTTCCTTGTTTTCCCAGCTTCTTAAATGACATAACATTACAGTATCTCCCTCACAGAGTCTCTTGGAGGATTAAATAAGTGAATATATAAAAGGCACTGGGAAAAGCCTGGCCCATCATGTGTACTGTGTGTTAGCTTGCCTGTTCATCTCCAAATCTCATTCAATTTCATCTTCCGCCACCATCTGCCTCCCTGTCCTCCCATTAAGACCTTTGTGCCAGCCTCATACAACACAGGGGAAACTGTCAGGAAAAGTTAAAAAACACTTCTGGCAACCTTAGCTTTCTTGTTCTTTCAGTCTTCCAAAGTCTTGTAAAGCTCCCCTGTATGAAATCTCTCTGATTGAAATACCTAACAGGATTACTGCTTTCCTGACTGACCCTCACCAATAGAGTCTCAATATCAATTTACAGAATCTTCCAACTTATGTCCTCACCTCTGGTCCTGTTAGGGTGGGGGTAACTTGATGCATTCATTGAAATCATTGAAAAGAGCAAGTAAAGGGCGGCGCCTGTGGCTCAAAGGAGTAGGGCGCCAGCCTCTTATGCAGGAAGTGGCGGGTTCAAACCCAGCCCTGGCCAAAAACTGAAGGAAAGAAGGAAGGAAGGAAGGAAGGAAGGAAGGAAGGAAGGAAGGAAGGAAGGAAGGAAGGAAGGAAGCAAAAGAGCAAGTAAAGTTTCAGCAAAAAGAAGAAAGTTTACTAATGATCTGTGCAGCAAGCTGGCCCTGCCCTAGTGATTGCAGGCTCCGTAGAAAGCACAACCTCTTGGATTTATACACAACCTTGAGGAGTAACGGCTGCTTCTCAGAAGTCCCCCAGGGCCTTCATAGCAACCCACCTGCAGGGTCTCGATCAGCCTCATTCCCATAATGTTCCATATCAGCCTGACCCAGACCATCCAAAATAGCCTAACCTCCCCCATCATCCACCTTACTCCTGTCTAGCTTCCTCTCAGTTCCACTCTATTCCATCAAACATCTAATCCACATCCAAATCACTGTCTAATTAATCATCCTAATATGAAATTGTGTTTACAACACTCCACCACTCAAAAGTTCTCTAACACTCCACATCATTCACAGAATCAAAAATGACCTGGCATTCCAGGCCCCTCTGCGAGTATGACAAACACACCTTCCAGTTACACCTCCATCTCTGCCTCTGTGTGTCCACCCAGAATTCCTCCGTTCCCTCAGAAAGAGTTGACGCCCCTCCTGTGTGCTTCTGTGTTCATGCTACCCCCTCCATCTGATCTCACTCCCTCCTCATTTTAACCACTCAAAATTCTATTCACTCAAATATCATTTCCCCTACGAAAATGTTTTCCTAATTTCCACTTTCTGTGTTCCCCTGTTCACAGATTCTCTGATACTGCTCCCTTCAAGAGGGAAAGTATAATCGTCCACCCTTGAACATGGGCTGGACTCAGTGTCTTGCTCAATAAATGGAACAAGGTGAAAGTAATGGTGTGTTTCTTTGGGAGTTGGGTCATAAGGCACTGTGATTTCCTCCTTCCTTGTTATCTTGGGCCACTTACTCCGAGGGAATCCAGTAACTATGTCATAAGAGTAGGAAGACGGGAGGACTGAGGCCTTCAGCCTGTTGGCACATGCATGAACCACCTTGGAAATCCGTCTTCCAGTCTAGTCATGTCTTCAGATGGCCACATTCTAACTTTAAGAGAACCTAGGCCACTTAGCCAAGCCAGTCCTGAATTCCTGAGCCACAGGCCACATTAGATACTGTTTGTTGTGTAAAGCCACTATATTTTGGGGTAATTTCTTACACAGTAATAGATCCTTAGTATACGATTATCCTTGACGCCAGTGAAATACAGCTATCTGTGCATTTCTGTTATAGTCCTTTCTTCTATCCACCAGCTAGATAATGACCTCATGAGAGACAAGGATTGCCTTGTCTCTTAGCAGGGACACTTAGCTATGTGTCCCTGAAGCAACTAGCAAAAAGCAGATGGTTAGGGCAGCACCTGTGCTCAAAGGAGTACGGCACTGGCCCCATATACCAGAGGAGGCAGGTTCAAACCCAGCCCTGGCCAAAAACTGCAAAAAAAAAAAAAGCAGATGGTCAATGCCTTTTTCCCTTTAATAATGTCAGTTTTAAGAATGTGGGCTCTGGGATGAGGCAGACACATGTTCAGAGTGCAGCTCTACCATTTGCTAACTGTGTGAATTTCAGAAAACGACTTACCTCCTGTAAGATTTAGTTTACTCATCCATAAAAAGGGCATACCAGAGCCTTCCTCACAGTTCTGTTGTAATTCCAGGAATGGGAAAGACACTTCATCCCTTGCTCCTCATGTCTCTATAAATGGGAGAGATTTCCACTCCACTCTCAGAGTAAGCGACGCTGGAGTGACACCTTAGGACTGCCTTGTCACGCCTCTCCTGGGCTCCTTCACACAGCTGCAGGAACACCATGTTCAACAGGTGCAGCTGATAGAACCTGACGCTGTGTGATTGACACTGATGTCTCTGTTCTGGTCTCTGCTTCAGACTCTCCCTTCCTCACATCCATGAATGTGAGTAGACATTAAAACAGCAGATCCTGCCTTTGTGACCTTAACCCACACAGAATACATAACTGGGCCAGGGCTTAGAAATTAGCTTACAGGGACAGAACCGGGATCCAAGTCTATCACTCTCTTTCTCTCTCCTTCTCTTCTCTCTCTCCCTCTTTCCCCCTCCCGTTCTCTCCTCCGTTTCTTCCTCTCTCCTTTCTCTTTCTCAGCCTGTTAAGACCTCAGGCAGCCCAGGATCCTCCACGCACCTTTCTGCTAAGCTCAACCATCTCCGTAGAGAGCAATAAAGTCTACACTGGGGGAAAATCATAGAAAAGCCTGCCATTTTTTTATAATATAGTTTAACTATTAAAAGGCTGATGTCATATCCTTTTTAAATTTTTGTTGCAGAAATTTTTAAGCCCATACTAAAGTAATCAAAACAATATAATATGACGATATAATAAAATGAACCCCACATGCCCAACACCCAGTTTCTACAAATACCAGTTCGTGGTCAACCTCACATCAGTATTGTATTTGAATTTTCATCCGATTTCTTGCATCTATTCTCTGTTGTCTGAGAACTTGACAGAGGGGTTAGTGATGAATTGGCACTCCCCAACTTCTAACAGGGAGGATTAAATGAGAGAATATCTTGAAAGTCACCTGGGACATAATAAGCCTTAAAAAAAAATAGCATCAATAATAATGATGAGCCATGAGCAGAACTGAAAGCAAGTTGTGACCCGATAACTTAGCCTGAGAGAGTGAGGACCATTCTCCTTGCAGGATTGCCTAATGGTACGTCAAGAGCTGCTAAGGCTCAAGGTAGTAGGAAAACTCCCTGGATGAGGAGGCAGGAGGGCTCAGCTTCTGTGACATTCACCCACTGACTCCCCTTCAAACCACGTGATTTCCTTCCCCCGTCAATCACTTACCTCCAGCCTCAGCCTCTGGGATACCATGCCTATGTCGATGCTGACGAACACAACTCGATTTGACCCGTCGGGTTCTGCCATGATGAAGGCCCGGCTGTACAGCCGCGTGAGGAGGCCCTGTGCGTTCTGGCCACTTTTGCTAAAGCCCATCTGAAGAGGAAGAGAGAATCAGAGTCGTTCCATCTCGCTCCCTGCTACCAGGAACGAGGCACAAACAGAAGAACAGACTGCTCCAGAAAGACAAAGAAAAGAAAATCCACGTGACACCATGGCACTGATGTGTGATGTAACATGCCGTCAAATATGTGTGTTTTCAAGAATTAAAAAAAAGAAGAAGGTGGCTGACATCATAAAGAGGCTTTAATCTTCTGTGTAGAAAAATTGAAAGGCAAATTATCGACAAGTTGGCAAAAGTCTATGGGCAAGGATGCCGCTGGTGGGGCCCTGGGATTCCACCGCTACCCCAGGGACCTCTCCAACCACTCTGTTTCTTGGATGAAATCTTTTCTCTTGCCTTTCTGAGATATAGAGAAGAAAACATTTTCCTTAATTCCACCCCCACAGTGCCCAGGGACATTGTGATGACTGAAGGCCTTCTGACGTTGGGGGTTTGCTGTGTGATTTTGTTTTCTGAAGAAAGCGGTATCTTTATATTTAAGTCATCTCCTCTGAGGGCACCTCGCCCTGGCTTTTAGCATATTATTCCTCCCTGCGCCAAGTCAGACCACATACACTAATCCCAAGCCCCTTCTCTTGCCACATCATAAACCAGCCCACAAAAACAGGTCTTAAGAATGCCCCCTAGTGTCAGCATTACACGCACACACCCCACCCTGGGAGTGTTTAATGGTCGCAGCCAGGGTCACTTTGCAGAACAAGCAGCTGGAAATAATTCCTAGAATCTAAAGAGCACTTGGCGGGAGTGAGAAAATCCCATTAGACAACTTCATGCTCTAGTTTTCTAGGGAAGTATTGACATAATGGATATTTCCACCACCATAGCCAAGAGGCTGCATGCTAGCAGTGAACAGCCCACACCTGACACACGGATGGATTTTATTTGGCTGATACAGTGTTGGTCCGTACTGGGTTTCTAATTTGAACTAGAACTGCCCACATTTTTGAAGTGAGAGATTTAAATCTTCTAATCTTCAGCCTGGAGATTTACTGACATCTCTTGAAAAAACTTCAAGGCAGGACAGCTCTGAGCCAATGTTGCAACCATCAGCTACAGCCAAACCCTTTATTTTTATTTTTAAAAAATTTTTTACAGCATTTCCAACTTTTCCTGCTGCCCCACCTCCACCCCAGCAAACTGCGGATTTGCTAGACGTGTGTCATCTTACACTGGCCTGATTCAGTCATTTGTGGCACCTGCCCACTCCCTGTAGCATTTAAGTTTGCCAGCTCTGCCACTGCAGTTCACTTAAAAATGGGCAATTGACTTTTATAAGGAAACTGTGATTAAATAAAAGCTTCCCTCTTCCTTCTAGTATGATAATTCATAGTGCTAAATAGAATCTAGTCAATGAAAAAGCTAGAAGAAGATGCTGATGACGCTGGAATCATCAGGAATGAATGCAGGATGCGAAATAATCAGAATGACTTGTTTCACAGTCTCCTGCAGGAGCCCACCATTCACTTACCAGATTGATGTCTGATACTTGTCCTGTGCAGTCAGCTCGTCCGACACCAATGTGATAACCACTGAAGTTCTGAAACAGAGGTGGCTCCGAAGTGTGCGTCACAGAAGGTTGGGTGGCCGTGGGGTTCTGGGTGGCTGCGGGACCCTTGGTGGCTGTGGGGCCCTGGGTGGCTGTGGGGTCCTGGGTGGCTGTGGGGTCCTGGGTGGTTGGAAAAACATGGCTTCCTGAATCTAAAACATGAGAGTAAGATATGTGAGAAACAAGATTTCAGCCTAGTCTACTTATTTGTCCGTATCCATTAGAATACAGTGTACAGGATGGGGTTCTTAAAAAAAAAAAAACTTTGTATTTTTTCTTTTGCGTAAGATATACAGTGAGAAATACATTGAATTGGGTGGCGCCTGTGGCTCAAAGGAGTAGGGCACCAGCCCCATATGTCAGAGGTGGTGGGTTCAAACCCAGCCCCAGCCAAAAACGGCAAAAAAAGAAAGAAAGAAAGAAATACATTGAGCCCTGTTTGAAATCATAAGTCTAAACAGGATCTTTTTCTTGGACTAGAGATGTTTCAAACCAAAATTCAAGGTCTCATCATGAGCCATGCCTAATCAAACAAACTCACCCTCTTCACATCACACCCTGCTCTTCTGTTTCAGCCAAACACAACAGATGCCAGGTTTCTGCCACACAGCCTCCTAAACCTGACCGTGGGGGATGGGTGTCTTCCATTCTCTCTATCTGGACTCCTTACACCTTTCCACCAACCACCCCCTAGCATCCGCGTCATCATGCCTGGATTCATCCAGCCCAAGTGCTCATCTGTGGGACGCCACCCCCACTGCCCCTACCCTGGCTCTGATCCTCTTTGACCTTCTAAAAAAAAGGCTTTTACTTTTAATACAACCTAGATTATTGTATACTTGATGTGGTTTCCCCTTACAGTAATCACTCTTATCTGTATAGTCACACGTAGATATGTTTAAACACACACATTCTATATTAATATGTGTCTATATTTCTCTCTCCTCCCCCTTCCACACACCCAAACATGAAAGGAGACAGATTCACACGGAGATTAAGAAGGCAGGTGTCAGAATAAACTGCCTGGGTTAGAAACACGACTCTAATCAGCTGAACACACTGCTTAACCTATTTTACCACAATTTTCTTTACAAAGTGGAGATAAGGATAATCCTGCTTCCTAGGATTGTTTTGAACAATATGTTTATACATATTAAAAAATTAGAACGATGGCTGGCATATAGCTTTTATCTGCCTTAACATAGCTAGGCATTTTATATATTCATTTATTTGTTTCTTTGTTTCCCCAGATAATAACCAGGAGAAGCCAAGGCCACACATGTCGGTGTTACAAGGCATGGGTGGTCACAAAGCACTTAGACGAGAGATTGACAGATGAGCCCTTCCGGAATCCTAGAATTTTGGAGATCATCTGATGCAACCTCCCCAGTTTTAAAGATGAGAAACCTGAAACTCAGAAAGGTGATAACCAACTTTCTGGAGAGCATGTGATGAACCTGTATTCCAATCCAGATCCTCAAACTCAGGATCTTAGGATCTTTCACCCAAATTGTGGAGTTAGAATCCGTGACTTCTCATCCCCAAGTCCACATTTTCCACTAGACATCAAACTTGGCAGGGTGGCAGCCGGCTCCTTTCTTATCACCTCGTTGCTGCCAGCATTGGGAAGTCATGTCTACCAGAGCCAAGCCTAACCGTGTATAACTAAGGGCAAGCTATTTGCCACTACAGGGGCTGGGTTTCCCTGTATGAAAAATGGCACTAATGGAAAAGGAAGGACTTTAGCACCTATCACTATAGAATTGTTGTGAGAATTAGATGAGAAAATTATGTAAAAGCCTTACTGTAGTGCTCAACACAGAAGCCGTTCAATAAACAATAACTCCCGCTGCGAGAATACTTAGTGTAATTATTAACAACCTCCCTGAGTCTCAGACTCCTGAGTCTCTAATTTTAAAAGCTAAAACTAAATAAATTTGAAGGATCCTTTTATTTCTATCCATCCAAGACCCTGCTCTGCCCACTGTTGGATCGAGGATCTCTGTGCCTCTGTGTTTGCTGGGAATTCAAAGCACAGGAATATAGCAGGGAGTACGGTGGTAAAGAGGAGAGGCCACCAAAGGGGAAAGTGAGGCCACGGCCAGCCCTCCCTTTACTTGATCAAAGCATCCAGTGCCCACCTGTCTCATCTGCTGTATGTAACCTAGCAATGGCTGAAGCAGAGGCTCCTACAAAGAACCGTTGCTACTACTACCTGCAAACGTAGCCCACATAGTTTCCAAAAACTAAATTTGTTGCCAACATTTAAAAAAATTAGGAGATGTCTAAGAATCCAAATTTCTAGCTTTTCTTGAGACCTCCAAAGATCTGAGACCACGTGACCTCATGACAACAAACAGCTGGCACTCGGGGGAGGACTGTGGAACCCCGTCACCAGAATCACACCTGCCTCCACCTTGATCTGCCTCCTCACTCCACCGCATTTACAGAACACGATTGGCCCTTATGTGTATATCAGTTCAAGACCCTCTTTCTCTAAAGCTTTTTATAGACAAATTGATATTCAGTGAGTTTTTCCATCTACTTTTGCCCCCAGGAAAAGATGATGTCAGCAAGGAGACAAGGAGAAAGATGAGAGGCTGGAGGCCGATGTCACTGGCTATAAAGAATCCCGGGGTGTGCTTAGATCAGTGGAAAAGCTAATGGCAAACATGCCTATCAGAATGCCTGTCCACTGGCTATTTAGGAACAAAGGTAAACCTGATAAAAAAAACTGCTGTCATTGCAGAAAGGGCAATTAATGAAAAGGGAGATGGCCACCCCAGGCCACTTAAGTGCACACTGAAGTATCAGCAGACACTGTTTGTCACTTTGCTGTCCCTGGTATTCAAGAGATTTTTTTTATAGGCCTAAAAATAGCATCCAAGAGAGCCCAGGACACTTGCCTTTGTTGTTTTCAATGGTCCCACTGGTGATAAACAAGAGACTGAGAAGAGCCACTGTGATTGCAGTCATCATTACAAGGAGGAAAATCAGGAATGTCTCCAAGGTAGAGAAGGTGCGCTTGGCCATTTCTTCTGTGGTGAAACAGAGATGGAGGAAGAAAAAGACCAAAATTCAAATTAAAATGTATAGGCCTCAAGTTGCCCAAGGCTAAGATGTTTTAGCTCTTTCATATCAACAAACTGTACCAAGGATGGCAAGCACAGAGCACACTTACCACGGGTTCCATATCCAAGCCTTTGGCAGACAAGACCAATCAATTATAACACTCTATTTGAAAAGCTTGCAAGCGTTTTCCAAATCCTTCTCAGCCCAATGCTCCTCCTGGCAGCCACCACTCGTGATTTGGTATTGGCAACTGAGCAAAAATCTATTTACATTCCTTAGCCATAACATACTGCTTTCATTGATGGCAATGGTGCTATTTATAGGTCTGTTCATGGGTCTTGGTTGGGAGTACGTGCATTTGTTAACAAGGATGACTGATGAATGTATATTGCTTATATTTGGTAGAAGGCTGGCTGGATTTGGGACTGTCCATCATGGTCATGGATTAAGTAAAATTATCTTATCTACATGGAGGTAAAACTCATAACTTTGGCCTTTAAATTCTATGCTCTAACTTTCAATTACTTCCTGGTAATAAAAGGCATGGAAAAGGGGGATTAGCATCTCTGTTCTAAGCCAGGCATTAGTCAAATTCCCTTCTTCAGTGATCAGAAGGATCCTACACACACTGTAAAACTTGTATCAAAGGATGAGGATCAAGAATGTTCCTATGTTCCACAAAAGCATAAAATGTCGTTACAGATTCCTTAAGATGTTTTAGGAGAAAAATTCATCACCACTCAAAGGGACAATACAAGCAAAACATCCACATTTACAAATCTGAAAGTTCAAATCTTCTTTTAAAATCATTCGTAAAATAATGGAAACACTGAGCCAGCATTCCCACATGCCAGGAGTTTCCTAAAGCTCAGTAGCTGCTGTTCTCTTTAGATGTGGCATGGATTCTCCAGTCTGCCAGTCTCTACTCAGCAGGCCTTATCCATCTGAGTGACAGCCTGTTCCGTGTGGGTGTTTGATTTCACAGGCCCAAGGCTAGGGGTGGTGGATCAGCCTGGCAGCAGACACTCCAGAGCAGGGGTCCTCAAACATTTTAAATGGGGGGCCAGTCCTTCAGACTGTTGGAGGGCCGGAATGCAGGCCTCGGGACAAGTCGACTGCTAAGCAGGACAGGCAGCGGTGCCAAAAATACCCAGTGAGCCGGATAAATGCCCTCGGCTAGCCAAATGTGGCCCGCGGGACGTAGTTTGAGGATGCCTGCTTCAGAGTGTCTGAAGGCTGAATTGAAGGCAAATGAAGTGACTGAAACATCTTCCCAAACTTCCTGGTTATTGAGAAGTGTTCCTCATCTATTTCACCATCAGAATCACCTTCACTCGACCAGCAGTGTCAATTGCAATTCTAAGGCAAAACAAATTAGGTCTATGCCTTAGTCACCAGGAGTAAGGAAACCCATCTAAATGGCTCTGAAGTCTGATGATCTACAAAGGTCTACTAATCATTAGCTGCTGTTTCATAACAAACTCCAAACCCAAAGTTTTGGTTTCCCTGAGCCTTCCTGGGAGCCAAGATGACCAATAGCTGGACTTTCCAACCTTGGATCATTGACTTACAAATTGTATATATAAAAGTGGTCACATGATAGGAGACCATGTATCAGACAGAAAGGGCACAAAATGAAACTTTAAAAATTTATTTCTAGTTTTGCTCTATTGCACTAGTCACTGCAGCAAACCTTTTACACAAGTCAGCAATGGAACTTGAATTCACATTAATTTCCACCTCTTACTTAAACTTGAATGGTCTACCACGTGTGTTCCCCCACCCTGGTTAGGTGTCAGAATTGCTGCCAACACATTACCATTATTTTTTAACTACATTAGCTGACTGCACAACCACCTTTGGAGAAATGAGAAATTAAAACTTAGGTTAGCACCATTTCTCATTGATGATTAAAATGTGAATTCAAATGTTAAACCAGATGCCTTGTCTACCTTCAGAAGGCACCTTGGAGAACTGAGCCAATGATTCCAGCTCAAAGAGGAGTCTACATTTCCTAATGGTTGCCACTCACTCTGTCCTAATCCTGTGAGCTTAATAATGAGGTGCTAACGACACGTCAGCAAGCCATTTGCCATCTTCACCAGATCGAGGTCCCTTTTTTTTAAAGAAGCTGCTGGTAACAAGTAATAATTTAGCAAAGGTGATTTCCAAAGTTATGAAATTAATGTAATACTTTCAGCTTTCTTCGAAATAGCTGAGACAACAGGATGACTCAGGTTCCCTCCTTCCTTTTCTCTCCAAGAAAATACAGTCATTCTTACCTGGTTCTACTATTCAAGAGTTTCACAGCTCAGGAAAGGAAATGGTTCTCCAGAATCTTGTTCTCTTCCCCCTTGCATGCACGTTGCTGGGCTTAGACTTAACACTTTCTGAAACCTACTGAAAAAAGATTTTTACAGTCACATCCAGGAGAGTTAAGGTTGTCATTAGCATACCTCTGAAGGCTTGGTACAAGGATAAGATTAAAGTATATTGATAACACTCTCTCCCAGGATAGCCTGTTATCATTGGTAGAAGTTACACAAGGCCGGCTGGGCTGAAGGTCATTTTAGCATTGATAGAACTCTTCGAGCATGACATGTTCTGTGCAAGGCCAACAACCTGGATCACAAAAACAAAATGTATCTGCTTCATGTCCCAGTGGCCATTCTACCAGTAATCAAAGGGACATTATTGTGGGCTATGGATATCACTGAGCAAGATTTACACGAATTCCAGGACAGAAAAGTGATCTTAATTATTAGAGACTCACATAAAAAAATACACACAATTTTAGATTAGCTAAGAATGTGAATGATAAACAAGGCAACCGGGCAAGAATGCTATGCTAATTAAGAATTCTACTGGAAATAAGTTAATGGCATGAAAAAAACTCCCAAATATTACAGAACAATGCGATCTCATTTTTGTAAAGTATACATTATTTATATACGTACAATCATGAAGATTGTGAGAAAGTACAGCAAAATGATAGGACGTAATTATTGGGTGGTTCTGGGTAGTTTTCGTTGTTACATTTTTTTCTTCTTGGTATGTTCTAAAAGAGCCAGGCTATGTTTTACATTTGTAATAGGGAAAATAAAATGGTTTCCTTTCTCATGAAGAAGTTACACTTTAAAGCAGCGTGAAGTTAAACAATGGACCACAGGAGACCAAGCAAGTCCTAGTAAATCCAAGCTGCTCAGCACACATATGGCAAAAAGCCACACAGGCTGCTGAATTCCTTGCAGAGTTTGAAGAGAGGCCCATGGAGTTCCAAGTGAAATAGTACAGATATAAATGTCTTCAGACAGGGAATTTTATAATACATTTTAGCTTCCTCTCTGCTGCTGCAGAAGGGAACACGGTAAATCATGATACTAAGCAAGTTTTTCTCACGTGCATTGTTGTTAGAATTTTTGGTTACAAACAACGGACACCAAATCCAGCTAGCTTAAAGCAAAGGGGAAAGAGGGAGAGGAAAAGTAAATTAATCAGAAGGCAGCAAGGAAAGCCACAGATCTAGGCTCAGGAAGTGCAGAAACCAGGAATGTAGGCGGCCAGTGGATGTAGGCAGCAGGAGCTCTGGGACAGTATCTTCAAGGCATCCCCACCAAGAGGGACCCTCACTACCGCAGCCTTTGTGCTGCTGCACTTAGCAGCCAGGTCCTGAGAAGGCATCTGACTGGCCTTGCTTAGGTCATACATCTATCCTGTCCTTTAAAGGGATACTTATATGCAAATTTTAATAAGACTATCCCCCAAGAAAGAAGGCAGTTCTCTAAAAATAAAATCAAGGTGATTTAGAAGTTGAGCAGTAAACACAGTGGCTGCCTACTGGTGGTCTGTCATGGGAGTGCCTTTGCCCAGCCTTCTGCCTCCCTGTGGGGCTCTCTACACAGTCCCTGTCATCTTTCCCAGACCTTTTTTTCCTCATAAAAAGGGGCCAAGCCATGGACCATTCACAGTGTCCTGCTTAGTGGCCAACAATTTAGTCAGATAAGATCATTTTAGCCAGAGTTTTAGAGACAATAATAGCTTAACACATCACCTTTCCTAGACAACATGTGAAGGCCCCCATCTGCACAGTAAGGGGCTGAGCATCCAGGCAACTCCAAGCACTATTGCAAAGCCAGAGGAGAAAAGCTTTTCGGCCCATCGAAACAGCTCCTCTTGCCAGAGTAACCCTAGCCTGGGGTGGGATGAAGACAGTCATTGCAAGTATTTCAAATTGTGCATCTATTCTATTTCAGCCCCCACATCAATCCTATTACCTACAATAATCTAGCTGTTCGCTACGCTCCACCCACACAAATTCACTCATATTCACGTGCTCCACCATTTTACAGATGAGGAAACCCACACAGATTTCTAGAACAGGAAAGGGTAGTTGCAAGTGAGCATGATCCTGGAATTGTTACGCCAGAATACAAGCCCAGGTCTCCAGACTCCTAGAGAAAACTTCCTCCCCACCCCTGCACCAATGCCTACTGTCTACATCACCTTGACCTGAGCCTTGGCTTGACAGTCTCTGGAGATAGGAAACTCCGCGTGTTCACTCCTTACTAGCAGCTGATGATGCAAAGCTGTATCTTCTTTTTCTTAATACTATCATAGAGGGAAGCATTATCCAGCACGAAATAAAGGTAACTAAAGAAAAACTGTATTCAAGCTATGAGAATATTTCTACCAAAACCCCAACTCCTGAACTATTAACAAATAATCATTGGCATACAAATTGTCTCAATATTTTATTTATGCCTATGGAGTTGGCACTTAAAAGGCATGGTGGTAATTTCATAGACTCCATGAATGGAATATATGATGGTCACGTCCTTTCATTCTTTAACTCCTAAAGTAATTGAAGATTAAATTACTTCTAGCAAACACATCCTATTTTATACAGCATCCAGATCGTCATCTCTAAATGCCATTTTCTTGCTAAAAGAACCAGAGATCTTTGGAGAAAAGGCTAGTTCTGTGCCTAGGGCAGGAATTCCATGAACTAAAGTTGGAATGTTTTTATCATACCAGATATTTTTAAGTTATCAAAATTATTAAAATTATATCAAAAGACCTAAAGAGGCTCTGACTAACCACCAAAGGTCAGTTAATTTCAACCCCAGGGCAACTGAATGAAACACTGTCTCAAACATAAATAAATAAAGAACTGCATGCGTTGAAACAAACCATATATGCTTAAATTCATGATGTCACAGTGATACTTTTTAAAAGACACTAGGGAATCAATTTGTTATTCTGAAAATTGGTTTTAAAAAGGGAGGGGGATGGAGTGGGCATAAAGAAGAAATGTACTTTGATTTTCCTATATAAATGTCCTGTGGGAAAGCCACATAGGTGATGAGAGACAGTTTCTCTTGCTCAAAGTATTCCAGCTAATAAGTAAGGAGGGAATGATAACCTTGGATGTATATATTTTTGCAACCCCTAATAAAATGATGAATCTGGGCAAAGATTATCAACAGCTGCTTCTATAACTAAAAGAGAGGCAACCCAGATACCTAGCAAGCTTCTGAACAACGTACACACCTTTGTCTAGTATTCTTACTAAAAAGAGAGAGCTAAGTCAGATCTGCCTGTTTATAGGACATACTAATGCAACTGGAGACACACATCGGAGGGCAACATGGGGATACAGAAAGCCCAATCCAGAGTGGGAGACGCTGTGTGACGGAGGAGCCAATTTCTTTAAAAGAACAAACTGGAAATGAAGAGCAAGATTAAAGAAGGAAGAGCAGCAGTAGGAACAGGGGGCATGACTGAGGAAAAGGGGAACAAGAGCCAGAATGGGTGGGGCAGAAGGGCAGAAGGCAGAGGAAGGATGGAGAAAGTGGCTGGGGAGGACCAGGGAGACACGGAAGTAAGGAGACAAGAGCCGCAGAGGGCAGGCTTCAGAGACACATCAATCAGCTGTACAATGTAGGTTCAACAGCAACCTTATTTGGAACCTGATCCAGATAATAATCCAAACAAACTTTTTTTATGAGATCATTGAGGAAATTGGAACACTGACCAGATATATGACAACATTAAAGAATTTCTGTCTAAAAGACTAATGGCGGTGGTTCACGCCTATAACCCTAGCACTCTGGGAGGCTGAGGCAAGTAGATTGACTGAGGTCACAGGTTTGAGACCAGCCTGAGCCAGAGCGAGACTCGGTCTCTAAAAATAGCTGGGTGTTGTGGCAGGTGCCTATAGTCCCAGCTACTTAGGAGGGCTAAGGCAATAAAATTGCTTGAGCCTGAGAGTTGGAGGTTGCCGTGAGCTGTGACACCACAGCACTCTACCAAGGGCAACAAAGTGAGACTGTGTCTCAAACAAAAAAAAAAAAAGTTTACTAAAAATGATAAAGTGAGCCATAAAGAGTATGAGAACAACTGAGATTTAAATTCAAAGTTTAAGATGTTTATTTATTTATTTTATTTTTTGTTTTATTTTATTTCATTTGAGACAGAGTTTCACTCTGTTGCCCTCGGCAGAGTGCCATGGCATTACAGCTCACAGAAACCTCCAACTCTTGGTCTTAAGCGATTCTCTTGCCTCAGCCTCCCAAGTAGCCTGGACTATAGGTGCCTGCCGCCACGCCCAGCTTATATATTTGTTATTCTACAGTATCCCTAATTAGAAGCACAGAGACTAACAAGAAGCTACCTTGTTAGAAGATCACACAATGATATGTTTTTTAAACTACTCTGCCAACTCTCTAACAGGATGTAAATTGCTTTATATTATTTATAGGCGAGTACACTGTGGACGTTCAAGAGTGGCAGGTTCTGTGCTTTTTAAACGATAGCACAGTTATCTTTTCTTGGCGTATTCCTCACACTGGCTTCTAAACATCTCCCTCTTCAAGTTAGATAAGTTCAACCTTAAGGGAGGAGGAATGCCTTTTGCTATTTTTGACACAAACAGAGAGTTTTAATGCCAGATGAAATTGGAATTGCAAAACTTCCCAATTTCTCCACTGTTACAGTGCGGGCTGTATAACCCTTTTCAGAGTTATTTGGAAATGATTCTCTGATGATTTTTCTTTTCCCAAAACCACACATAAGAATTTATTTTATTTGTCAGTGACAAATTTGACCTGTTTGCTATACAAGATTACAAAGGTAGATTGGGAGGAAGCAGGCTGCAGCTGCATTTATCATCATTTCAGGGACAGGGTGAAAATATCTTGTGATGTAACTTGTCCTCTACCTAAATCTCAGATGGTCTGCAACTCCCTCTGCACCGAGCACCTACACAAGGGGCAGCACATGGTTCTTTGGTAAATCCTGGAAAAGAAAGAACCAAGGGAAG